ACAGAGTCTCACTTTGTCCCCCTTGATAGAGTGCCGTGGTGTCACAGCTCACAGCACCTCAAACTCTTGGGCTTAAGTGATTCTCTTGCCTCAGCCTCCTGAGTAGCTGGGACTACAGGTACCAGCCATAACACCCGACTATTTTTGGGTTGCAGTTGCTATTGTTGTTTAGCTGGCCTGGGCCAGGTCTGAACCCGCCTGCCTCGGTGTATGTGGTGGGATCCCTACTCACTGAGCTATGGGTGCCAAGCCTCCTGCTTGCTTTCTTTCTCTTTTCAATGGACAGAGTTCTAAATGATGCTGCAGACATATTTCTGAGGCAACCACCCACTCATGACAGGAAATTAGTCTAATTTACAGAAAGGATCACAAAAAGCCCGTCTGAACCACACTGGTGTGTCACCTTTGTAGGTCTAGAACCATCACACACAACCTGGGAAGCAGGTATCAGCAGAAGACAAGTCCTAGCACTGGTCCTTTCCCAGCCTCTTCCCTGGATCCAGGGAGCATCCCACAGCCTCACCGTAAATTCCTCTCTGGTTGTTTATTAGAACTGGGATTCTAGCTGTGTGTTCACTGTGTTAACACAGAGCACATGAAGTGCTTGCCTGTCGATTGATAAGCTTCATCTTTCACTAACTAGGTTAGATTCTGTCAAACAATCTTCTAGTGGCACATTAGAGTATATGTGAAGGACGAGAGCACCTTACACCCATTAACCATCACCACATAGTCACATAAGTTTCTCTTCTCACAATCTAGTTCTTAAATTTCTAGGAGGCTAGGCTACTTTCAGAAAATCTATTATTAACATTTCTGTAACATTTAACTTATCCTAATACGGCATATAATAAGTAACCGCTCCCTGAACTGTATTCCCCAACTGTTGCACAATAAAGCAAATGCGGTTTCCAAGACTGTAAAATGAACTAAGCCTCCTTAATACCATGTAAAGAAGTGGGACAGCTCTTGATGGGAACTGGTTTATTTTAGGGGTCTTAAAAGAGCATTAGCCAACTTGGCAAAAGACAGGAAGGGAGGCTCTGCACAGATGCAGTCACAGTCACTAGTGTTCCTCATGGAGTAAGGGCTCAGGATGCCCTAACCCCAACACACTGAAGGTCCCAGCAGCACCCAGAGAAAATAATCCAGCATCGCTGGGGTCTGTGCTCAGTTTGCAATACCTTCCTGCCGATGCAGGTACACACTGCGCACACACGCTCACACCCCAATGCACTAATGTGCACTAATACAACACACATCATGTGTACAAATACACAACCACACACACCACATGCACACAGATACACTACACACATACCAATGTGTCCATGCAAACCAATGTGCACAACACTGTATCAATAAATGCAAAAAACCACATGCACCATGTGCACAAATACTACCACACACCCACAAGTACACACCATCATACCCTGCATGCGCTCAAATACACACAACACACCAATGTGTGCACAAACACAACCATACACACCATGTACACAAAACTGCACAACCACACATTATCATATAGCATACATGCATGCATATCATAGACACACCATACACACAACCACACGTACAACTCAGGTTCCCACACTTGCACACCCCACACGCCCATAGACACCACAGACTGCACATAACCACACAGCCTCCATACGTACACCATACACCCATATACACCACAGACTGCACATAACCACATCCCCCCATACATACACCACACGCCCATATACACCACA